CAAACGTCTTTTGGGGTGGGTCCGAAAAGGTGACGTGTTCTTTGCCGCGTGGTAAGTCACACGGTGAAGACGGTTCGTCTAAACCATTTATGAGTGAATGGGAACTTGACGTCGTTTTCGGATTCATGGAATGGACATTTAAATATTTAAATGTGGGTTTCCTTTTAATGGGTTGTCCCACATTGAAACTTTAATAGAGCTTGTTTATGTATATAAGCTCTAGACTACAACACTTGGGTTAGGCTCTAAGGGGCATCCTAAGATTGTAGAAGGGAGGAGTTATGTTCAAAGTGAACCTTAACCTAAACCACCACACGCGCGCCGCCACCGCTGTGCCGTGCGCGGGTGTGGGTTGTAGGTCGGGTCGGTTCTAAGATTTATTTTTTGAACAAAATTCTTTTGAATTTATTTCAAAAATTATTGCAGGAAATTATTTCAAATTCAAATTTATTGTCCAATAATCGTGCCTCCGAGTTCCAGTTTTCCCAAACTGTTAAACAGGCTTTTAAACTGTCGGACATATTCAAAACTGTCCAAAACAGTTTTCTGCAAATTTTGGACAGATTCTGTTTTTCAAACAGATTTAAATCTGCTAGGCAGATTTGGACATATTCAAAACATAGTTCAACAGGTTCAATTTGTTCTAGACAGATTGGATAACTGCTCAGCAGTGTTAGACAGTTTTAAAACTGCCAAACAGATAATAAAACTGCTGCAGATCTGTTCTTTTGAATTTGGCACCTGTTGACCTCTTTTTGTACCTGTTCGGGCTGTCCCAACAGTCACTAAGTTGCCTATAAATGGATATCCTTTTCCAGCAGTCTGGACATCACGAAATGATCCAAAACAGTCTGGAAAAATCCTTTCTTTTGTCCAACTTTGCTCTTTTGGTGTATTATTCTTCATTATAATTTTAGGAAAAAAAAAAGAGAGTTTAGAACACAGGTTTGGTTCGCCGTATAAATTTGTTTGGAGTGCTACTACAAATGTGAAGATCATTGTATCCTGGGAGATAGACGCCACATAACTGTAAGCACCGTAGCGGGGCGAATCTGTCTTAAGGACAGAGTGTCACACACTCGGCTTGGTCTTTGAATTTTTTAATTCAGTTCGATAAATAAATTCGGTACATTATTTATTTATTTGTTTTGTTTTGTTTTAATTTATTTTATTTACACAGAAGATTGTCCCAAACAGTTTATTGCTCAGCTCTCTCTCCATTTTAATCTGTTCTTCTTTGTTCTTAGACCATTTATCAAGAATTTTATATTTTTCCTTACCTATCTAGTTGATGTATTTGGATGATGTTACCCCTGCATTTAATTTCGGTCTAGTTGATTAATTCAAACTCTGATAAATCCTATAAACTTTTTAAAGGTTTTTCCTTCTAATTTTTGTTTTCTTTAATTTTGAACATGTGTAAGTTTATTTCTATGCTTCTAGCGACTTCTAAACTAATTTGTGTTTTTATTATTCTGGTAAAAAATTGCTTGGAGAGATGGAAAATATGGTCAAAGAAGCCAGAATATTCAAGAACTTTGAGTTTTCCCTAAGTTTTTTTTTTTCTTTTTTTTTTAATGAGATTTTTATTGTGTAATCACAGCAAAAAAACTTGTATTCCTTAATTTTATTAGCTATTCATATGTGGTCAATGTTGTGATTCAAAGTAAATTTTTGTACAAATAATATTGGTCATATTTTAGATATTAGTTTTGTTTAGATTTTAATCACGATTTATACGCGGTAATTGATAGTCACATTTTGTGGTTGAATCTTTTTTTTATTACACGCGCTAACTGTAATGAGAAATATATATAATTGTGATCTTATCTCATTATTAATCATGGATTATTTAAGTTTAATATTAGGTTTTATTGATTATTAATCACACTTAAAATTTATAATTTAAATGTTTATTATCACGGTCAAAACACGTGATGAAATTATCTTTTAATGACAGTCAGAAAGTGTGATAAAAATTATCCTTAACAATCACACTCTCAAATATCATACTTTGACAAAATAAAAAATCCGTGATTAAATAACATATATCATACTTAAAATCCGTGATCTATTTATGATTTTGTAGCAATGCGGCCACCACATCCTTGAACCACCGCACATCCTTGAACCACTAATTACCTTCCACCGCCACAAACTACCTCTTACTGGCGATAATGATCTTTGGCCACAACTTTTTATTGAAAACCACTTTCAATTACAATTTTAGGCAATTGACCGGTCATCATCTCCAATCACTTCTAGCCAATAACCACCTCTAGCCATTACCTCTCATTGCCAACAATCACCTCTGGCCACCATCTTTAACAGTCAACAATCACCTCTCATAGCTCTCATTTTCACTTGTTTTCAAAATAAAATTTTAAAATATTTATATACCAAATATATTTTTTGTTTTCGTTTTTACTAAAAATAAACATAAACATATTTATTGTTTCTTGTAACAAAAAAAACAATAAACTACAAATTTTGCCAAATGACACCTTAATTGTAAACTGTTTTCTGCGTGTGAACTTTATAGATTTATGAGTTAAGTTTGGCAAGAGCTATTTTATCACAAAACATTCATTGGAATTTTCTATTTATTTTCAGTCGACACATAAGTTGGTGAGCACAAAGAATGAAAACACACATGACAAATTGCACTTATGAGAGGGGAAGGAAAATGTTGAAAGATGGGTAGAACAACGACAATAATTGTCCATTTATAATCTTTTTTGGAAACTGTTTTTTTTTTTTTTTTTTTTTTTTTTTTTTTTTTTTTTTTTTTACTTGAAATGGCATTTCGGGGGATTCGAGTTCCCCCGTTTTCGGGGGATGAATCACTGCCGATAAACATAAACATATTTATTGTTTCTTGTAACAAAAAAAACAATAAACTACAAATTTTGCCAAATGACACCTTAATTGTAAACTGTTTTCTGCGTGTGAACGTTATAGATTTATGAGTTAAGTTTGGCAAGAGCTATTTTATCACAAAACATTCATTGGAATTTTCTATTTATTTTCGGTCGAGAGATAAGTTGGTGAGCATAAAGAATGAAAACACACATGACAAATTGCACTTATGAGAGAGGAAGGAAAATGTTGAAAGATGGGTAGAACAACGACAATAATTGTACATTTATAAATTTTTAGGATTTTAAAAATATTTGCAAAACATGGAAGATAACAAAAATCAAATATATCAAGTTTTGTATGGAAACGAAAGCTAAACAAATTCGAACCCTTTTTACAAATTTTCTAGAGCTGGTAAGGTTGACCCGAACCTGCCAGTCTGCCTACAATCTTATGGGTTTAGACCCCATTATGATATTAGAGAGAGTGAGAGAAGAGAAACTCTGTAGTATTAATAATGAGTGAGTATAGGTTTTTTAGATGGTATGAAACAATAGCCAAACAAAACAAATTATCTACAACCCATTGCATCACCATCTAAAATTTTTTTCTTTTTTTTTTTTTTTTAAAATCTGGTTTGCTTCTGATTATTTGGATATATTGTTTGGCAACAAAATTCTTTGAACAATATTTATCTCTCCCTCTAACTTCGATTTTTAAATTGCTTTTTTCAACTACTTCTAGCTCTATTTGCATGCATCTATATATACTAGGAATGTGAGCCGGCTTGATGGGTATACTTAAAATATAAATTTTAATTTTAAATTTAAAATATATTTTTTATGTTATTTAAGTGGTGAAAAGTGTTATTTATTATGTCAATTAATGGTCATTGGTTGAGGTCTTGGGCCCCATTGTGTAACAATAATTTTTTTTCCCTTGTGAATAGGGAAATCGACACTTGACGCAAAAAGAGAAGGTCACTTGGCAAAAGGAGAGAAAGAGGTTCAAAATTCAAGTGAGTTGTTCACTTTTAACACTTGATACAAAAAGATAAGGTCACTTGGCAAAATGAGAGAAAGAGGTTCATAAAATCAAGTGAGTTGTTCACTTTTAATAATAGTATAAATTCAAGTATAGAAGATATACACATCTATCTATCTATCTATCTATCTATCTATCTATATTATTATTAAGTGAAGGCTAGATTTAGTAACCAAGCCTTCTCATCATGCCACGTGACATAATTTTTTTTATCCTAAAAACAAAAATTACATAAAGTGTTGAAAGATGTTTGAATCCAAGACCTTCGGTTTCATTAAGAAGTCTCGCATCACTTGGGCAACATATACGTATTAGAATATTAATTTTTTTATCATTTATTTTTATTCTTATTTATTCGAATCATACACTCAAACGCGTGTGCCACCCACTGGTCTATACATATGGAACATAAAATATATATATATATATATTGTTATATATGTGTTTAGGTTCATTTTTTATTTATTTATTTATTTATTTATAAATATAGGACTATATATACATGTGTATGTAATTTTCTAAAGACTATTTATGACATTTTTTGTTTGGCACCATTTTTTATTATTTTTAAAATTTGAATATATTACAAAATAAGTTCATTAAAGTAAACGGGTTTGTCTAGTTGATTTGTCCAATTCGCACTCAATTTAACCCAACCCATTTAAACCCAATCAATAAATGGGCGGGTTGAGTTGAATTATTTTATTACCTAACCTGTTTTAATCCGCCCATTTACTACCTCTACAACTTACTAACACGGGGGATTAGATAAGAGTGTTTGGTTCTGAATTTGTCATAGTTTTATTTATTTATTTATTTATTTATTTATTTTTATAAATATTTTGTATTTTGTTGTCCTTAGTGAATTTTTTATATATATATATATTAGTAATTTTTTTAGATGCACCTAAAAACAAATATTTTGGTGAAAAATGTATTGAATTTTTTAATTTTTATATTTAGTCAATTTTTTTATATAAAAAAATCACAAATATTTTATTTTTTAAATGTATCTAAATTAAGATAATCTAAAAAGAAAGAAAAATTTTTTTTGCTTAAAATGTTTAAAAAATTCACCAAAGACAAGTAACCTCAAATACAAAAAACTCAAAAATTATTTTTGAAAATTGTTCACTAAACAGAGTAAAAATTCAATGTCACGATTAGGAATGACGACGGGGCGGGGCTGGGGCAAGGATCACACCCCCCCGTCCCCAATCCCCGATGGTGCAAATTCCCCTGTTCCAGTCCCCAATCCCCGACGGAAAACCTATCACCGTCCCCACCCCCTCCCCTAACAGGGATCGAGGTTCCCCGACCCTGAAAATTCCCTGGCCAAAAAAAAAAAAAAAAAAAAAAAAAAAATCAGAGAGAGAAGATCTAAATCCAAAAAAAAAAATAGAAAATTTAGATATGTTAAAAAAAAAATCAGATCTGAATCCACACGCGCGCACACACAAATCTGTTCAAAAAAGTCTTGGAACCATCGAAGAGTAGAAGTAGATCTTGGTCTCCATGGCAGAGTAGATCTTAATCAGGACGATGTTGGGATGCTTCACCATCTTCATCGCTGAGATCTCGCAAAGTAGTCCTGCAGTTAGAAAATGAAAAAAAAAATATATCATATATAAAAGAGGGAGAACATCAGAAAGCATATATATATATATAATGAAAGAAATATGAAATGAAAGAGAGAGAGAACATCAGAAAGCATATATATATATATATCACTTCGGGGACAAATGGGGCCGGGGCCAAGCCTTGGACACTTATCACCGTCCCTGGCTTGAAATTGATCGAGGATTAATTTTTGAATACCATCCCCGTCTCGTCGAGAGTATTTTTCGGGGAAAACCCGTTCAAATCGGGGTCGGGAGATCGGGTCCCTGTCAGGTCGGTTTCAAATTGCCATCTCTAGTCATGATGATACCCTCAGTCTCATTCAAGTCCATGTAGAGAGTGATAACAAGATTGTTATCGAGCTATATCCGAGTTGGATCCTCCTTGGGACTGTCAAGCCATCATCTATGACATTCTCCATGTCCGAGTGCGTAGCAACGTTACTTTCTACTGGTCTCCTAGAGAATCAAACCATGCAGCTTATTGGGTTGCTTCCATAAACCTAAAAGGCTCACTTCCTTTAGATTGGGTTGCCAATCCTCCCTGTGAACCCTTTGCTCTCTTGTTTGCTGAGGTTTTGTAAGCTTTATAGCGTTTCTAAGTACACAAACACACACATACACACACACAAAACAAAACACACACACACACACACACACACACACACACAACTTACATGTAGAGGTTGAACCTACTTAAACAGTTCCGTTACGTAGCTCGAAATTGGCCCGAATCCAAAATGATGTCGTTTTGCAAATATATATATATATATATATTTTCCCTTCCTTTCCATAATTGGCCGAAGAACAAAGAAGAAGAGGAGAGGAGCAGAGAGAGAGAGAGAGTGGAATTTTTTTTTTTTTGTTTCATTCTTTCTGGCAGAAGAACAAAGAAGAAAAAGAAAAAGAAAGAAGAGAAGAGGAGAGGAGCACAGAGAGAGAGAGAGAGAGAATCATCAACCAAACACATCATCATCATCACACATAAAGATCAACTAAAAAGCAAACCCACCATAGAGATCTGCCAAAAAAAATGTAAATCTAAAAAAAAATTTCAACACATCATCTGTTGGGTTGGGTTTCCCTCCTATGTGGAGGAAGGCCCAAAACATTTAGTAAAACCCATGTGAGTTCCAAAGCCCACATGGAGAGATTATGTTTTTGAAAAGATCTAGCCCATGAGTTTAGGATGACAAACCTTTTCTTTGTAACACAGAAAGAGACGTAGCAGCAGCCACCAAAACAGAGAAGAGAAGAGAAATTCTGTCCAGCAGTGATCAAGCTATCCGATCAACAAGCATTGTGGTTCGATTGAGCTGAAATTTGGTAGGCAAGTTCACAACTTAAGACTCTAAATTCTAGACGGTGGAAATCAAATTTGGAGTACTCTACTGCTGGTTTTTGGCCCATGAACAGTACCATTTTTGGTGAGATTTTTCCTAAACTTTGTATTTTGATCTTTGGTTGCCAAGGAAGCTTATTTGTAAGCTGTTCTTGATTGTTTGCCTCTAGTTCTATCAAGAGAGAACTCTTGTATACCCATTATTTGTTGATAGTGGAGATATTTGGTGGACTACGGTCCCGTGGTTTTTCCTTTCCACATCGGGAAGGTTTTCCACGTTAACGGTGGAGATCAGATTTGGAGTACTCTACTGCTGGTTTTTGGCCCGTGAACAGTACCGTTTTTGGTGAGATTTTTCCTAAACTTTGTATTGTGATCTTTGGTTGCCAAGGAAGCTTATTTGTAAGCTGTTCTTGATTGTTTGCCTCTAGTTCTATCAAGAGAGAACTCTTGTATACCCATTATTTGTTGATAGTGGAGATATTTGGTGGACTACGGTCCCGTGGTTTTTCCTTTCCACATCGGGAAGGTTTTCCACGTTAAAATTTTGCTGTCGCCTTGTTATATGATTGTTGGATCATTGCGTTCAGATTATTTTCAGAATATATGGTGCTCTATTAAATTGATTCCTAATAGGTTCACACAAAGAGGGAGAATAAACTACTTCTGTTATTTTTGTGCCGGATTCGGATATTTCGAATTGGTTTTTTGTTTTGTTTTCTCCCAACATAGTGGTATCAGAGCCAAGTTCATATTGTTGTGTGTCTTGTGTTGAATAATGGAAGCAAATTTAAGTAGAATGGTTACTTTGAATGGTTCTAATTATCACACATGGAAAGGAAAAATGGAAGACCTCCTTTATGTGAAACAATTTCATCTACCGGTGTTTGCTACTAAAAAACCAGAAAATAAATCTGATGAAGAATGGACATTACTACATCGATAAGTGTGTGGGTACATTAGGCAATGGGTGGATGATAATGTTTTGAATCATATTAGTGGAGAGACACATGTACGTACACTTTGGAACAAACTTAAACAATTATATGCTCGGAAGACTGGAAACAATAAAATGTTTCAAATAAAGCAATTGATGACCTTGAGATACCAAGATGGAACCCTATTGATAGATCACTTGAACACTTTTCAAAGAGTAATTAATCAGTTGGCTGGAATGGGTATCACGTTTGACAATGAGGTATAAGGGTTATGCTTGCTTGCTACATTGCCGGACTCTTGGGAGACATTTAGAATGTCATTATCTAACTCGGCCCCAGATGGTGTAATCAATATGGATCTGGCTAAGAGCAGTATTTTAAATGAAGAGATGAGGAGGAAATCACAGGGATCTTCTTCACAGTTAGAGGTTTTGGTTACAGAAAGGAGGGGGGAAAGCAAGAGCAGAGGTCCGAAGAACAGAGACAGAGGTAGAAGCAAGTCCAACAAGTTTGCTAATGTTGAGTGTTATCATTGTGGCATGAAAGGGCACATCAAGAAACAGTGCAGAAAATTGAAGAAAGAGAACGAGGAGAAAGGGATTGAGCATGATGGAAAGGATAATGATCAAGTTGCCACCGCTACTTCCGCAGACTTTCTCATTGTTTATGATGAAGATGTTATTAACATAGCATACCATGAGACCAACTGGGTGATTGATAGTGGTGTCTCTATTCATGCTACATCTCGAAAAGATTTCTTCACATCCTACATACCTGGTGACTTTGGTTCGGTAAAGATGGGTAATGATGGCTTGGCCAAAATTATTGGTGTTGGAGACGTGCACTTGGAGACGAATAATGGCACGAGGTTGGTTCTTAGAGATGTAAAGCATATTCCTGATATCCGCATGAATTTGATTTCTGTAGGTAAACTTGATGATGAAGGGTATTGCAACCCTTTCAGTAATGGTCAGTGGAAGCTCACTATGGGTGCTATGGTTGTGGCTCGAGGCAAGAAGCATTCTACTTTGTACGTAATGTAGGCAAGGCTCCCCAAAGAAGTTATTAATGCAGTGGATAATGAGTCTACAGTGGAATTATGGCATAAAGGCTTGCTCACATGAGTGAGAAAGGCTTGGCAACATTGGCTAAAAAGAATCTTCTGTCTGGAATGAAGAATGCACTTTTGAAAAGGTGTACTCACTGTTTGGCAGGAAAGCAGAATAGAGTTTCCTTCAAGAGTTCACCTCCTTCAATAATGCCAAATGTACTTGATTTGGTATATTTAGATGTTTGTGGTCCTATGAAGACAAGAACACTTGGTGGCTCCCGTTACTTTGTAACCTTCATAGATGATTATTCAAGGAAGTTGTGGGTCTACACTTTAAAAAGCAAAGATCAAGTGTTAGAGACTTTTAAACAGTTCCAAGCCTTAGTTGAGAGATAGACTGGGAAGAAGCTCAGGTGCATCAGAACAGATAATGGGGGAGAGTATTGCGGTCCTTTTGATGATTATTGCAGACAACAGGGTATTCGACATCAAAAGGCACCCTCGAAGACTCCTCAGTTGAATGGTTTAACTGAAAGAATGAACAGGACACTGGTTGAAAGAGTTAGATGCTTACTTTCACAGGCACGGTTGCCAAGATCCTTTTGGGGTGAGGCTTTGAGCACAGTTGTACATGTTCTTAATCTCACACCATGTGTTCCTCTTCAGCTCGATGTACTAGACAGAGTTTAGACTGGCAAGGATGTTTCCTATGATCACCTGCGTGTCTTTGGATGTAAAGCATTTGTTCATATTCCCAAAGATGAGAAGTCTAAGCTCGATATGAAGACCCAACAGTGCATTTTTCTAGGCTATGGCCTAGATGAGTTTGGCTACAGATTATATGATCCAGTTGACAAAAAACTAGTGAGAAGCCGAGATGTTGTGTTTATTGAATATCAAACTATACAAGATATTGAAAAAACAGAGAACACAATGACCTGGCATAGTGATGGTCTAGTTGACTTGGATCCGAGTCCTCTGACAGATTTGCCTGCACAGGTTGAACATTATGTTCAGGATGACCAATAAGGTTTAGGTGATGCAGATGATCCCTTACAGGCTGAGACAGGTGATGAGACTCTTGAGCAGTTGGCAACACCAGAGATACCACCAGATGTTCCAACCAGGAGGTCAGCTAGAGACCGACATCTTTCCACTTGGTATTCTGCAGATGACTATGTGTTAATGACTGATGGGGGAGAGCCCGAGGGTTATGCAGAAGCCATGGAAGATGATCATAAGCTGGAATGGGCTGATGCGATGCAAGATGAGATGGAATCATTGCATGACAATCACACTTTTGAGTTGGTAAAGTTGCCTGAGGGAAAAAGAGCTTTAAAGAACAAGTGGGTGTACAGGGTGAAACATGATGAACTCACTTCACAACCACGATACAAAGCTAGACTAGTTGTTAAAGGGTTCAGTCAGAGAAAAGGCATTGATTTTGATGAGATCTTCTCACCAGTTGAAAAAATGTCTTCTATTCGTGTGATTCTTGGCTTAGCCGCTAGTCTAGACTTAGAGATTGAGCAAATGGATGTGAAAACTGCCTTCCTTCATGGTGACTTAGAGGAAGAGATTTATATGGAACAACCAAAGGGTTTCAAGGTGAAAGGAAAAGAGGATTATGTGTGTCAGCTAAAGAAAAGTCTTTATGGTTTGAAGCAGGCACCCAGGCAGTGGTATAAGAAGTTTGAATCAGTTATGGAGGAGCAAGGCTACATGAAAACTACTTCTGACCATTGTGTATTTGTGCAGAAATTCTCTGATGATGATTTTATTATTTTACTGCTCTATGTTGATGACATGTTGATTGTTGGCAGGAATCCTTCAAGAATTGACAAATTGAAGAAGCAACTAAGCAAGTCCTTTGCCATGAAAGACTTGGGGCCAACAAAGCAAATTCTTGGTATTCGAATCTATGGAGACAGAAAAGAGAAGAAGTTGTACATGTCACAAGAGCAGTACATTAAAAAAAGTGCTTGAAAGATTCAATATGAACAATGCTAAAGTTGTTAGCTCACCTCTTGCTACTCATTTTAAGTTAAGCACTAATTAAAGCCCTTCTACAAATAAAGAGAAGGAAGATATGGAAAGAGTTCCATATGCCTCAGCTGTGGGAAGCTCAATGTATGCAATGGTCTGCACAATGCCAGATATAGCTCATTCAGTTGGTGTAGTTAGCCAATTTCTTTCAAATCCAGGAAGAGAGCATTGGAATGCAGTAAAGTGGATAATGAGATATCTTAGAGGCACTTCCAGGTTGACACTCAGTTTTGGAAATGGACAACCAATTTTAGTTGGCTACACTGATGCAGATATGGCAGGAGATGTGGATACCCGTAAGTCTACTTCGGGTTATTTGATCACTTTCTTAGGTGGAGCTGTTTCTTGGCAGGCGAGGTTGCAAAAATGTGTCGCACTCTCTACAACAGAGGCAGAGTTTATTGCGGCAACAGAAGCTTGTAAAGAGTTGTTATGGATGAAAAAGTTCTTGACGGAGCTTGGTTTCAAACAACAATAATATGTGTTGTTTTGTGATAACCAAAGTGCTATTCACTTGGCTAAGAACTCTACATTCCATTCGAGGTCGAAGCACATCGACGTGAGGTACCATTGGATAAGAGAAATTCGTAATCATAAGTTGTTGGAACTTGAAAAAATTCATACTGATGATAATGGTGCTGATATGTTGACAAAAGCTCTGGTAAGGGAGAAGCTTGAGACGTGTTGCTCGATTGTCGGGATAGAGAATCCCTTCACCTAGTTGGAAACGGGGAGATTTGTTGGGTTGGGTTTCCCTCCTATGTGGAGGAAGGCCCAAAACATTTAGTAAAACCCATGTGAGTTCCAAAGCCCACATGGAGAGATTATGTTTTCGAAAAGATCTAGCCCATGAGTTTAGGATGACAAACCCTTTCTTTGTAACATAGAAAGAGACGTAGCAGCAGCCACCAAAACAGAGAGGAGAACATAAATTCTGTCCAGCAGTGATCAAGCTATCCGATCAACAAGCATCTGTGGTCCGATTGAGCTGAAATTTGGTAGGCGAGTTCACAACTCAAGACTCTAAATTCTGGATGGTGGAGATCAGATTTGGAGTATTCTACTGCTGGTTTTTGGCCCGTGAACAGTACCATTTTTGGTGAGATTTTTCCTAAACTTTGTATTTTGATCTTTGGTTGCCAAGGAAGTTTATTTGTAAGTTGTTCTTGATTGTTTGCCTCTAGTTCTGTCAAGAGAGAACTCTTGTATACTCATTATTTGTTGATAGTGGAGATATTTGGTGGACTACGGTCCCATGGTTTTTCCTTTCCACATCGGGAAGGTTTTCCACGTTAAAATTTTGCTGTCGCCTTGTTATGTGATTGTTGGATCATCACTTTCAAATTATTTTCAGAATATATTGTGCTCTATTAAATTGATTGCTAATAGGTTCACACAAAGAGGGAGAATAAACTACTTCTGTTATTTTTGCGCCGGATTCGGATATTTCGAATTGGTTTTTTGTTTTGTTTTCTCCCAACATCATCATCATACACAGATCGAAGGCGAAGAAGAATCGGAGATCAGAGGCAGCAATTGACGGGCGGTGGAGAAGAATAGGAGATCAGAGGCGGCGATCGACCCTTTCTCTCTATTCCCTCTTCCCCTCTCTTCTCTCTTCTCTCTCTGTTTTAGACATATAAGGAGGGGGGGAAAAATTGCCCAAAAATGACGTCGTTTTGGGCAGTCAAGCCAGAGAAATTTCGAGTTACGAAAGATTATTGCTACTCAAAATATAACTATATTGCCATATATACAATAGAAGGTAAATGACATGATATTATTGGATTGTGATATCAATAACATAATATTACTATTGTATTGAACATTTTAATTTTTTAAAACAACCAAAATATACAAAATAAAATATTACCAATGCAAATAAACTCTTTTTTAGTTTTCGTTGTATACTAACCTCACCCTCCCGCCTTCCGGCTTTGAATGAAAATACATTGAAGAAGTTGTTTAGAGTGAAGGTGTTGACGTCATAAAATACACGAGACTGCGGTATAAGGAACCAAACCAAATTGAGGAGGTCGTCTCCTTCTTTAAGCTGTTGAAGATGGTAATTTTTTGGACAACTAATTGCAGCGTAGCATAACATCGCCAACCAACCGATTTTCAATTTTTCCCATTTCACCTCCTTATTACCATCGTCGAGTTCAATAATTACATCTTTAAAGTAAAAATCCATCGCATCTTTGAAATCCAATTTGCGTCTTCCTTCTTCTTCATCTTTTTTATAACGAAGAAATAATTTCGAGTCAATGCAAAATTTTATCATTTCCGAGCGAAACAATTTGCGTCCTTGACGTTCTTGCCTTCTTCTACATATAAGAGTTTTAGAAATTAAATTTTTTTATCTCTAAAAGTATAAATTTTGCTATAAAAAATATTTAGGGACTAATTTCAATTGTTGTGTTTGTAAAAAGTCATCCCAAAAAAAAAAAAAAAAAAAAAAAGTTGTGGAGTTTTTAGGGAAAATTTTTTAAAATATTAGTAATAAATGCACTTTTAGGGACAAAATAATTCATTCTCAAAGATTTATTTTTTGGAACAAAACTTTTGGTTTTAAAAGGCTAGCAATTTATCACTAAATGTCTAATTTCATTGCTAAAAATAAAATATTAACATTTTTTGTGATAAAAATATTTTATCCCCAAAAAGTAATATTTTTCCTAATTTTTTTTTGTGTCTCAAATCATAATTTCTTGTAGTGATAACATCCGTAATATACCTGAAACAAAAACTGTAATATACCTGAACTCTGTACAGACTTTGACTATGAAATCCGTCAACTCGCTATCCGATACAACAGCAGGCAACAAGGAACGGCAGGTGAGGAGTAGATACATCATGTAATTTGATAGAGTTTTGCATGTTTCCTTGTCATCATGACGTCCAGATGAGTTAGCACTATTTTGGGAAGTGTATGTATCATCATGACGTCCAGATGAGTTAGCACTATTTTGGGAAGAGTATGTATCATCATCACGGTAGCAAATATCTGTTATCATGTGCATAATAAAAATTTGGTCATGAAAACCTGCAGAGCCAAAGAACCCCTCAAGACTCCCAAGGTCAATTGAGTTGTCTGCGGCACTCTCAATAAATTTTACAATCATGGGATATAGCGTCCAAGGGATACTATGCATGTACCTATTGAACTCGTCTTGAATCCCCAACCTCCCAAGCATTCTACTCCATTTTGAACCCTTGTCTTCCTCTTCGAATAGATCGATTTGCCACATCTTTTTAGACCACTTCTTTTCAAAAAACCAAGGAAATGTCTGCAACAATCGGATTGCCCATTTTCCTCTGCCGCACTTAATTAGCCAAAGCATCAGCCAATCAGAGAATAATAACAAAATGACTGCATAAATCTCCAAAGCTAGGGCTCCGACCAATAATACTCCTGTGATGACAGTATCAACCATGGAGTAGTGCTGCTCTTGCCACTTCGCTTCCATGGCGATAAGCCGGAAGAGTCCTACCAACACAGACACCGTACACATGAAGCTAATAGAGCGAAAAATGCACCCTCTCTTGGTAAATGTTATGGGTGCTTTTGTGTATAATAAATCATACATGAGCCCCATTTCGACCTCCAATACATCCCGAATATATGTAGCATCATCCCGATTCATTTCAAGCAGAGAATTTGTTTCTGCACATTGGAAGTACGGTACAACGAAACTAAATCTACCAATGTCATAATTCTCTATATAACCTTTTAATTTCTTCACCATCACGTGGGCCATAATTAAAACATTTTTATATCTCTCCTCTTTTTTGATAAAGGCAGTCACTAGATAATCAAAGGGTACAATGTTTCCTGATTTATCATGGCATGCTAACTTAAGAGCCCACGTTCTCTCCCCATACTTAATAATTCCAGCCACGAATGCCGGAATTAACATAAATGAAAACCAGAAATGCCTCCAAGACATAACAATGACATAAATTGCCACAGTAGCTTGAACACCCATGCCCAAAAGATGTCTTATCCATAATTGATTATCTTCCAAAGAATAAGCAGTTATGGTATTAGGGCCACCAAGATGCAATAAAAGCAAGGGTGCCCATAATGCCTGTAATGCATTATTGGGATTAGGAATATTATTTGAGAGCTTGCCAAGGGCAACAGTTGCCACCCAATCGGCCATTATGTAGGCCAACCAGACAATCACTTTAATCCATTGTGACGATATATTCTTTCTACGTTTGCCAAAGATGAAAAGAATGATTTGTAAAGTGAGACTAAGTAGAACCAGCATCCGAACATTCCACACGTCCCATAGTATCTTCCACGATGCTGGAATCAAATTCATCACACCCTTCTCTTCTTTATCTACATAGAGAGAAAATTAAATTACTATAAGCAGACATAGATGGATAAATATGAATTGAACATTGTTATCCAACCTAAAAAATTAGACACACTTTTTTAAATTCAATGATGTGGCACTTAATTAGAATATCTAAAGTAACATTCTCTCTTATATCTTCTCTATCATCAACCAATTATCTCGCTTACATATCATTGGGTCTAAAAAGTGAGATTGTATATCATTTTACATCATGATAACGCATTATAATTAAGAATGAATATTCAAAAATTTCTACAATACAACTCTTTTTTATTATTATTATTGTGCACCATATGCAAGTTATAATAATTTATGATGTCAATAGTACTACAAAGTGTCTTAATGAAACCACTTTCAATCAAAACTAAAGAAATCAAAATGGGTCATAACTAAATACCCTAATGAATTATAATTAACACCACAATAAATCATAGTCAACATCAAAATGAGTCATAAGCAAATGCCACTTGCGTCATAACTAAAGACTTTTTTAATCATAACCAAAATAAAAATAAATAAATAAATAAGAAAAAACACAATAATCACTAACTTTTGCAGATAAAAAAAATAACAGCCATAATAAATCATAACAAAGTCCTAACCAATTCCCTAATAGGTAGTAACGAAGTCAAAACCAATATTACAATCGATCATAACCAAGCATCACAAAAGTCGTAACTAGGCATATGATACACTCCTTTTTTGAAGTGTGTTTTCATAGAATTTCCCATTAAAGTGAAGAGAAACGTCATAAACTCAAAATTTAAGTCTCTCAATTTACTCACAAATGTAACGCCCTGATTTTTAAAGATTAATTAGGCGGAAATTAACTAACCAAAGCGTGAGATTTTTTATTTTTATTTTTTTTAAAAGAAACTTCATTCTCATTCAATTAATTATAAAAATCTTTTTCAAATTCATTTTCTTTTCACAAATCTACATAAGAAAATACCATGGATGAAACCATAAACCCACTCTCCGTGTATTTTAATTAATATTACATAATTATTACATATGGAACACCCCAAAGCTTACAATAAATAAGAGTACTGCTCCTTACAAAGAACGGCACTAAGCCAAATAAACAAATGGAGTATTATAATTCATTACTACATTATAACTATGAAATGGTAAAACTAGCTATTTGATCTTCAAATCCAAAAAGCATTCCTTGTACACATGTACAAATAGGGGGTGAGCAAACTACTAGTTCACCAAGTAATCTCATATTATAACATTAAAAAACATGCGGGTCTAGCGATACAGTGATACCAAACAGATATATATATAAAGTCATACCATGCCATAACTTTATGATTTTGTTACCTAATTCCTTAAATTCAAATTTAATTAATTAACCATACTTGTTAACTTAAATAAATTAACATACTTCAATGTCAACAAGATATTCTTTTCAAATCGAATGCGATGCCAAAGTTTATAACACGAGTTATATGCATGCCTTTTCTTCAAAGCAAAAAACAGGTGGTAAATACACACATTGGGAATCTCTATCAAGCATAACGTTTCACGAAAATTTCGTCTGCAAGAAATCGTAAATCGGCACCCATGTAAACACAAGTTATACAAGCGCTACTATTGTCATTTCACAGAAATTTTGTCTGCCGGATCGGCACCCATGTATACACGCGGTTTTTAGGACTTTCACCATGAACACACAGGCCAACTTAATTTGAAGTAACCACATCTTTTACCTAGATTTACCAAAATATTCACCCACTTTTCTCAAAACAATTCATTTCCAATGATTAAGTACACAACAATGTTCCATGCAATGTGTATGAGAAATTAGTTTCTGTTTATCCAATCCACATGTAATTTCTACAACAGTCAATACTATTATCTACCGATAGCCAAAATAGTTATCTCTAATGCATTAATTAAAAGATAACAACATGGATATACAATCCAACATACAACCATGACTTGGAATCCTCCATGATTCTGAACACTTGGAAACAATCCATATTCCACTTTTTAAAGCCAGACTTTCAAAACTTACATAGTTTTCCATTAAACTCAACAATTTTAAAACCGAACATAATCTTTTTCAAATAATCCAACAACTCCCAAAACATTAACATTTAGGATCTTTCACAAATTGGAGCTTTCTCACTTTCAAATACCCACATGCATTTTATATACAAAAAACACATTTAATAGCAAAATTATAGGTAATCAACTCCCAATTTAACCAAACCCTCAATTTACAAATCAAGTATCTCATATATGACTTTGAGATACAAAAATAACATATTAGCATACTCAAACTAGTTAAACTAATAATCAATTTCCCAATTGTTTTGACTCACACAAAATTCTCAATCAACTTTGTTCCACCTCAACCAAGATAACTAATATGATTTTCACTAAATCTCATACTTATTGAATATTATCATTTCCATCCTACTATATTAAAAGTTATGGTATAATCTCAATAATACACTTTTAATTATAAAAGATATAAAATATGAACCAAACTAATTTAATCCATCAAATTAGTAAGTTCATTATATTCAAAATTTCCAAATTAATAATACCAAACATAACTTTACATGTCTTATCTCTCAAACATAACCATATTTCAATATAACCATATTTCATGCCAAGCTCCTTAAAAGGTTAAATTTTTTTTTTCCCACCCAAATTATTTACCAATAACAATTTCACAACTTTTTGTAAAATTAACTAATCAATATGATATTTACATAAAAAATTATGAAATATGCTTAATGGTTACATTTTTAAGGTTGTGAGTTCAAAAGTCCACATTTCATATTTTTCACCTTCACAAAAATGAACAAAATTTAATCATCAATATATCACCATTAATAGAATATCATAAATACAACACTTTTAGGGTTTTTAATCCCAAAACAACTCTATAATTTCAAGTTAACAACTTACACAATATTCATCAACATCTATTTATTTTTCTCAAAAATAAGTTCCAAAATCAAAGATGAGATAACATTTCAATATTATTTTTTTTTCTCAAAATAAATTATATAATCATAACATGATATAGATACCAAGCATACAACTATTAAAATTTAATCTCAGACTCTTGAAAAAATTTATCAACACAAGATGATTTTCTCAAATCAAGTTCAAGACACCTATATTACTAACATTTCAACATGATTTTTTTCCAAAAATTATTCAAACAAAATTTGAGAATAATATATACGCAATACCTTCTATAATAATATATTTTATCAAATTTTTCCTAACATAGATTTAAAGCAATAATATGAAGAAAATCATTACCTCAAATAATAAAGAAGAGTAGATTTGAGAGACAAATCTTGCCCGATTTTCGATCCGAGACTAATGCTACAAAGAGTACACGGCGAGATCTCCAACTTTTATTTACAAAATTTTTATAAAATCTTACGCTAATGACTCTCCCTTGAAGCTTAAAGATTGAGCAATAATGAAGGTTGGAGAGAGAGACGTACAGGAGAGAGAGACAGCTCTCTGCTCATGAAAGAAAAACAAAGAACAAAGAAGTACAAGGAAAAAGAGAAAGAGGGTTGGGGCAGCCCATCGTGGGCTGTCTTCCATCAATTGATACAATCAATTTTATAATAATATTTTAAAATTTTATAACATAAATTATAAAATGATATAATTTTTTTTATCACAAAAATATAATATTTTTATACATCACAAAATATAGATTACGAAATATACATCCATTTTTATTCACTACAAAAATATATGATTTTTCACCACATGGTACACACCATAAATTCAGCTCTAAAATATATATTATAATCTTATATAATAAATAATAACAATTCTCAAGGTGAACACTACCAATCACATAATTAAAAAGAACTAAACAGTTAAACATGAGTCATAAACAAACTCAAATTAAATTGAATCTAGTCATGTGTTTTGAATTAAATTCTTACCTATAAGTCAAACATGGTCCAATTATATACAAAAACAGATCCAACAAATTTATCTCAAGTCATGTCTAAACATTCAAAATTTAATAACGAAATTCTACTATAAATTAAACTGAACACTAATTAATCTACGAATTTTCTTAAAATAAATATCATCATTTAATTTTGAAATTTGTATCTAACATGCTAGATTCATATGGGAACAACATATAAAAATATCATAATTTTCTGAAATCGGGAACTATTTTTAAAAAATATAAAATCGAATTTTTTTCACACAGAATTTACACAGCAGTCAAATTCAAAAATTTACTTGATTAAATAATGCACTGACTATTTATTGAAAGAAATAAAAAAAAATTTGGATCATTACAACAAAGGCATAATAAGATTATATGATTGAGTTTGTAACCTATAAAAATTGACACATAATCTATCAACTATTGTGAGACTTAAATTATAAATCATAATCTTTTTCCTAAAATCAATTAAAGCAACGCGCTTTTTCCTTTCCTATCTAAAAGTAATGTGCAACGTCTTTCATTGACAATTACTAATGATTAAAAAGAGAACATGTCATAATTTTTTTATTTTCATCCAAAACGCTAATTTTGAAAAGATAACAATTGATGTGGATTCAACTAATTAACATAGTTTCATTTAAAATTATATTTAGTTGGTGTGTTAATTGATAAATTAATTAATATTTTTAATATTACTGTGAAATAATTGTCTTGATTTATGTCTAACTCGTGAATCACCTCACCTATTTATTTATTTGTCTTGCTAATAATATAGCCCTAAAGACTATCAATAAGAAACACAAAATGCCAAAACAAAAATAAATAAATAAATTATAATCTAAATATACTTTTCACATATTTTTAAAAATTAAAACAAATAGAAGGGTTAGATATTATTAAAAAAAAAATTAGACAATATATATTTTTAAGCATGACACATGTATTTTTAAACGTAACGTAAAAATATGCGCTACACATTTTTTTTTAATTTCTTTTTATACGTGCCATGCGAAATTTCTTTTTTGATTAATAAATGCATCATAATTATTCTAACCACTAAAAAGTTTATAATTCTTTAGACGCCATGTATATTGTTTGTTTTTAAAAATAAAAATAGATATATTTTGACTTAGATCTAGGTTATATTAAGATTTTTAAATTTCATAAATCATATATATGGTTAGATGGACCTATATTTCTATGATATTTGTACTTCTTAATATTTTAAAATTTTTAGAAAATAAGAAATTCAGATTAATATTTTGGAGCTCATAGATATTTTCAAACGCAATTTAATTTTTAATCGGTAAATATTTTTAGAAATATTTTTAAAACAAAATAGGAAATATGTATATATTATTTTGGTATATTTATTAACATTTTAAAACTTTAATTAAAAAATTATATATTTATTCTTAAAATAAGTCTAATATCTATTGTATCAATATTAAAGTATATTTATATCTGAGATATTAATTTCATAATAGTTGTGAAAGATTACGGAATCTTCACTTGTGTGAGTTCTCTACCCAGCATTTAATATCTAGTTGGTTTCTCACCACTACACATTAATAAAAAAGGTGATTAGAAGAACAAAATTCTAATAATAATAGTAAAAAATTTGTAAAGGCCACCCATGTGACTTCCTTGAACAAACTGTTTACAATAAAATAAAATTCAAAAGTGGTCAACTTTCATCTATTTGTATTAAATAAGTATGGAACTCATTATTTGGTGTGCCTATCACAAAACCCACGTGCCTTGTTGGCTTAAATGAAGGACACTTAGGTCTTAAGTTTATTTTTAAATTTTTTTGAGCTATAAGATTTAAGTTTTATTTTTTTGGGTTAAAATGATATAATTTATCCAAAAAAATAATTATTTGTTAAAATCAATTTATTTGTCTATTTCTTGAAATCACTCTATCTATTAAAATTCACTCAATTGTCTATCTGTTGAAATTCACCAAACTTATTTTTCTATTTGTTAAAATTTACCAAACAACCTATCTGTTGAAATGTAACACATGTCACTCATTCAATACCATATCTGTTGAATATCACATATTTTTTAGCCTTACCGCTACCACTCCCACCGTCGACGACTTTTCCGGCCATTTTCCGGCAACTTTTCTAAAGCCCGTAAAATTTTTCAGTGACTTTTTTCGGTGTCGACAACTTTTTTAATGTGTTCTTATTACCAAATAAGATTTTATCTTAAATCTAATATCTCATATCCTCTTTAAAATGAAATTTTCATCATTTTTGGCTAAACGGATTAATACAAGTACGTAAGTGGCTTACACTTACTAATATTTAATGAATAGCAAAACAAAAAAAAGGAAATTTACAATATGCATTCTTATAAAAATGTACATTTTAAAAAGAATAAATTATATTGATCTCTTTTGATATTTAAAAAAATACAATAAATTTTATAGTTTTAACATTGTTATATTAACTTTCTTTTTAGTAAAATTAAATAGACCAAAAATAATGCAAATAATGTGAAATCACAAAAAAAAAACAAAAAAACAAAAAAAAAAAACAAAAAAAAAAAGTAAAGTAAAGTATATATTTTTGTGTAAAAAATATGATTTTTTTTTTTATCCATATAACTAATAAATTATTGATGAAAACAGAGTTAAGTATTATATGAATTAAAATCTCAAGAAAACTCAATGTAATTATGCCCAAACTGTAAAACTAACTGTATTTTCTTCAAATTTTAAGGGAGATTAAAGTAATATACCTATTTAAAAAAATTATAACTTTTTACAATAAAAATTACAAGTATTTGTAGTGTTATCTAATTTGTGATAACATGCTATTTTATTATTTAAGTTACAAAAATTTATAATATTATTGTGAAGGGCATGTTTATCCCAAAAAATAAAAAGAAAAATGCTTCGCACTCCTTTTTTGGGATCCTCATAACTCGTTTTGAATCTCAACTATTGATATCAATAAATAAAAAAAAAAAGAAATCTCAATCATTGTTAAAATAAAAGTATATGTCAAAATCCAATGCAAAACCAAACAAATGACTCTTTTAAATTCATCTCCAACAATTTTCTCAAATTTATATTATTGAAATAACATTGATGAATTAGGATGAATTATACTTTGGCCCATTATGGTTGACCACTTTTTTACTTTGGCCTTTAAAATTTATTTTTTCTCACTTTGACCATTTATGTTTTAAGTTCTTTTCAATTTCTTCTAAAGTTAATTTCTGTTTAAAATTAGATAGAAAATGCCATAATAGCTATCACATAACATAAATATATATATTATTATATTAAAATTTAAGTTTATGTCACAGATGTGAGTTATATATAATAAAATATTTTTATGTCACATAATTGTTAATGTGTCATTTTCTATTTAATTTATAATATATATTAGTTTTAAGAGTAAATTGAAAAAAATTTAAAACATAAAAGGTTAAAATGGAAAAAAATAAAATTTAAAAATTAAAATAAAAAAATAACCAACATAAAAGGGGCAAAATAAAATTTAACCGTTAAATTATGATATTTTGAACATCAGTGCACCAAATGTTGGTTTTGTCATTTTGAAACCAACCTCGCATTTAGTGATCTGCCAAATCACAAATCAAAGTTCAAATTTGTCATTAGAACACAACACTCACCCAACACAAAAGAGTAAGGCTGGTCGTAAGGTTATCCGAACTGTCCAATCCGTTCAACTTGAACCGATCCGTATACAAATAGGTGATTTCGCAGACACAATGCGGGCAAATGCAGTTTGAAATATGGCATAATTGCGGGTTGCGGCGTTGGTTACCCGCACCCGCAAGAACCCACCTGCACATGGATTTTTTTTTTAATAAAAAAACGTGGACCGTTGATTTCATTCATCCTATCTTAGATATTTTTGGCCAACACACCAAACCCTAATTTCATGATACAAAAAGAAATGTTGTAAAGAACATTGTTTGAGAACATTGTTTTTGAATGTTTTTGTTTGCTCTATGAACATTGTAGGAAATTGAATCTACTTCTCCATGGAAGGGAAATTGAATCTGTTAATTACTTTTGAAATTGAAATCAATCTTATATTATATTGAATCTGGAAATTGAAATTGATTTTGAAAATTGAAAAAAGTCTAATCCACAAACCTCCCGCACATCTGCGAACCCTATCTGCACAAACTGTAACCCGCACTGCGGACGGTTACGGATTGAATTTTCTCCAAACCGCATACATGTGAATAAGTCCAAACAGTTCTGTAAACCATCTAAAACTGAACCACGAACCTCCCTAAAATGAGTCAAAAGACCTACCTAAAAGCATACCAAATGATTTGCCAAATTTTGGCAACTGCTTTATATAGTTTTGACCAATTAATTTTTGCCCAAAATTTATTAAGTTGTCATTTTCTCAACTTGAATGTTTTACTATTTTTGTCTCATGTATTTTATTAACTTTTTTAGAGAAAATTATTGAAAAGTTATTAAATTCAGTGAATATTTTTTTATTGGTGAGAGGACCACCATTTGTGAAATTATTTGGTGAAAAGTCTTTTTGTTTGTTTTGAAGGACATTTTGTTTCTAATTTTATCCCTCAATTTAT